AATTTTCATTTTTTCTGAAAAGGTGGTGTCTATTTACTTCTGACCACGCTGTGTACAATGCTAGAAACCGAGTTTCGATACCCGTGGTGGGCAGAGCACAAATAGCCCATTGAGTAGCTTTGTGCTTAATTACAAATAAACAAACAAACAAAAAATCAATGGATCAGACGGTAAATCCGAGGACTAGTAACACTAAAAATCGGGTTTCGATATTCGCGGTGGGCGGAGAACACATGCCAATTATGTAGCTTTATGCTTAACAACAAATAAACAAACCTTTTTCTTGTGGAATAACAGTTGTCATGGTTCTCATATTGACGTATTTTGATCGTGGAGACTAATGGTTGTCATGGCGATTACATTACTATGAATTTTTTATGATATAGCAGTTGCCATAGTGATCGCATTACTGTCATATTTTTGTGAAATAGCATAATCACATTTCCATAATTTGTTGTTTTAGTTTTTTTTTAGGACTAACGGTTGTCAAGGTGACCCGATATGGCATACTTTGATTGCTTTGATGTTAGTGTTAGGCTTAGCATGTCTGGATCAGACAATCAAATGAAAAGTAAACTTTTGATTTTTATATAGAAAATTTTATTTCACAGAAACGTTTTTTTTTCAGTTTACTATTACTTTTAAAAGTGTTAGTAAAATAGATACAAGAAACCTCACCCATGTCTTTGAACCACCTTCTTTTTATAGTAATACAACATAAAATCACACGTCAGCTGAGAAAAGACGAGAATGCGTGAGGTAATGTATATACTAGGAGTTGAAAAAATCTCTAACAAAAACATGTTTGTAATTATTTTATATATATACAACTTTTGGGTGTTATTTGAGAGAGCAGAGAGTTGTTTGAGTGACATATTTTTATTATTTTTACACGATACTTTTATACTTTTGAATAAAAGTAAAACTTATTTTTTTTTTAAATAATCACTAAACTGAGTGAGCTGGCCTATTCTACAGAATTTTGCCCGAGTCTCCTCGCTGGTTGGTATCCGTTGGACGTTATGACGAGGCAGTGGTCATTCTAAAGAAAATTGCTGAGACTAATGGCAATTCTGAGCCTAATAACCTAATCGCGAGACTTAAGGTGAGTTGTTTCAGTGGACATTTATATTCTGGTAATAAAAATACAGGGAAAAGTTTGACCAGACACAAAACCAGATTTAACTTCTCGATACAGTTCTCTGAGTTCCTCACGTTATTGCGGTACTATTCTTAATTCTTAGGTTATCAATACACTGGAGAATACCACAACAAATATAAATCGGACTCGTGAAGTTTGTTTTCTTCTGGCTGGTTGCTGCTAATCACACTATTCGTTCTCCTGAATGACGTCATGAGTATGTTGGACTGTCTGTTTCTTTTCATAACCTTTCCACGAATCCACAGCTTTTTTAATGGGGTCCTTTGTACACTATAATGAATTGAATAGAGTTGTTTAAACATTTGTTTAACAACAAGTAAAAGCTTGGAATGGTCTATTCTTTCATTGGGGGGG